TACAAAAATTGTCTGGGCGTGCTGGCACGTGCCTGTAGTCCCAGCTACTTGGGAGGCTGAGGCAGGAGAATTGCTTGAGTCCAGGAGGTTGCAATGAGCCAAGATTGCGCCACTGCACTCCAACCTGGCGACAGAGCAAGACTCTGCCTCAGAAAAAAAAAAAAAAAGGAGGCTGACTCTCTTTTCAGACTCAGCCCACCCACACCTGGGTGAATATTAAAAAAAAAAAGAAATAGGAAAGGAAAGGGGAAAGGAAAAAGGAAAGGACAGGCAGTGGTTACCAGGGTATGGGAGGGATGGGGGAGATGTTGGTCAAAAGATACAAAATTTCAGTTAGACAGGAGGAATAAATTCAGGAGATGTATAGTTAATAAGACCATACTATATTCTTGCAAATTGCTGAGAATAGATTTCAAGTGTTCTTACCAGAATAGGATGTGTATGGTAATGCATATGTTAATTAGTTTGATTTAGCCATTCCATAATGTACACATATTTCAAAACAACATGTTGTTTTTAAAAAAAGAGAATTGGCCAGGTGCAGTGTCTCACACCTTTAATCCCAGCACTTTGGGAGGCTGAGGCAGGTGGATCATGAGGTCAAGAGATTGAAACCATCCTGACCAACATGGTGAAACCCCTTCTCTAGTAAAAATACAAAACTTAGCTGGGCATGGTGGCGCGCACCTGTAGTCCCAGCTACTCAGGAGGCTGAGGCAGGAGATTTGCTTGAATCCGGGAGGTGGAGGTTGCAGTGAGCTGAGATTGTGCCACTGCACTCCAGCCTGATGACAGAGCAAGACTCCGTCCCAAAAAAAAAAGGGAGACAGATAATTTAGTTTTCAGATAACAGAATGGCTGATTGTTCTAGAAACTGTTGGCAGGTCAAATGGGATGAGCACTGGGAGTTAACCATGAGATTCCATAACTGGATGGCATCCTAAGCAGGGAAAAGATAACGAACGTGGAGAAGAGTAAGCTTTAGACCAAGCATTTTAAACGGTTGAACTTTGTTCCCAACAGGAGAAAGCCCAGCTCCAAATTGAAATTACAAGGAGATAGCATTAAAATGTCAAGAAGGCCCCAATGTTCCCAGGGCACATAATGAGGTTTTGTGTCTGTGCATGTTTGTGAGTGTGCTTTGATTGCACGAACTGGGCTTCCTGTTAGTGGGAAGGTTTATGAATGTCTTGGCTATTGAGGCCCCACAACTCTGAAGGATAAATGGAGGCTGAGTGTAGTGGTTTATGCCTGTAATCCTAGCATTTTAGGAGGCCGGAGAGGGAGCATCACCTGAGGTCAGGAGTTTGAGACCAGCCTGGCCAACACGGTGAAACCCTGTCTCTACTAAAAATATAAAAAAGTTAGCTGGGCATGGTGGCACACGCCTATAGTCCCAGCTACTTGGGAGGCTGAGGCAGGAGAACTGCTTGAACCCAGGAGGCAGATATTGCAGTGAGCCGAGATCACACCACAGCACTACAGCCTGGGCAACAGCAGGAGACTCTGTCTCAAAAAAAAAAAAAAAAAAAAAATTAGCTGAGTGTGGTGGTGGGCACCTGTAATCCCAGCTACTCAGGAGGCTGAGCCAGGAGAATTGCTTGAACCTGAGAGGTGGAGGTTACAGTGAGCCAAGATTGTGCCACTGCACTCTAGCCAGAGTGACAGAGCAAGACACCATCTCAAAAAAAAAAGTCAAGTGGATTAAAATGGATCTGATTTTCATATTACAGAGAGAACATATTATTTTGCTTTACTAACTTCTTAGTACAGACTAAAAGCAGATCAGTTTAATGAAAAGACAAGAAAAAGAAATCAGGAAAAGATTCAGAGAAGTGGGATTTCAACTGGGCCTTAAGGAAGGACAGGATATTGAAAGGCGGAGGAGAGATACAATATCTCAGGTGGAGAAACTACCAGGACAGTGGCAATAGCGCACTTGAGCGGCAATAACACACTTGGCTGAGTGTGGGCATCCACTGGACAGAGATGGGAAATCACTCAGGAGAGGTCAGTGGAGGCTGGGTTCTGGTAGGTTTTGAAAATCAGGCCGTGGTGTGTGGGCTTGGCATCCTTGGCCAGGTTGGTAAATGGACCATTGCCTGCTATAACTCCCTGTGGTAGGTACATCAACATGGGATGACCGCACTTTTTTTCTGCAGAGCTTGGATATGGCCTTAGAAATCGATTTTCAGATAATCATTACTGGCAATCAATATGAAAGTTACTACCAATCTGGTGGCAGGCAAAAGGAAGCAAATGTTGGTTTTCTCAACCAGTACAGACATAATAAATGGGGTGTTTAGGAAACACGGATATTCAGGATAGGTCAGCTAGAGGCTGTTGCTAAGTATGTAATACTGAGATCACTAAAACTCAGCAGACAAACCTGGGGGAAGTTTAATAATTTGATGATAATATTAGAGTTTTTCTCTGCACTGGTAAGAAATTTCAGTTGGGTTATTATTATTATTTTCTAAGAGATGGGGTCTTGCTATGTTGCCCGGGCTGGAGTGCAGTGGCTATTCACAGGCCCCATCCCATTACTGATCAGTGTGGGAGTTTTGACCTGCTCCATTTCTGACCTGGGCCGGTTTACCCCTCCTTAGACCACCTGGTGGTCCCCTGCTCCCGGGAGGTCACCATATTGATGCCGAACTTAGTGTGGACACCTAATCGGCATAGCGCACTACAGCCCAGAACTCCTGGACTCAAGCGATACTCCAGCCTCAGCCTCCCGAGTAGCTGGGACTACAGGGACTTGCCACTGAGCCTGGCATTTCAGTTAGGTTATTGTATCAGGTCCCTTTGTGAGAAAAACAGTCTCATTTTGGCTTGTCAAGTTAGAGTGGCTTACTGTAAGGATACTGTATTATTTTTCTTTCTTTTTTCTTTTTTTTTTTTTTAAGATAGGGTCTCATTCTTTTGCCCAAGCTGTATTACAGTGGTGCCATCATAGTTCATTGTAACCTTAACTTCTTAACCTTCTGGCTCAAGTGATCCTCCCATCTCAGCCTCCTGACTTCAGCTGAGGCTACAGGCATGAACCACCATGCCATGTCAGGTTTGTTTGTTTTTTTTTTTTCAATTTTATGTAGACACAGGGTATCACTATGTTGTCCACGGGGGTCTCAAACTCTTGGGCTTAAGCAATCCTCCTGCCTCAGCCTCCCAAAGTGTTAGGATTACAGAAGTGAACAGCCAGATGCGGTGGCTCACACCTGTAATCCCAGCACTTTGGGAGGTTGAGGTGGGCAGATCACCTGAGGTCGTGAGTTCAAAACCAGCCTGGCCAACATTGTGAAATCTCATCTCTACTAAAAATAAAAAAACTGGCTGGGCGTGGTGGCTCGCCTGTAATCCCAGCACTGTGGGAGGCCGAGGCAGATCACAAAGTCAGGAGTTTGAGACCGGCCTGACCAACATGGCGAAACCCCATCTCTAATTAAAAACAGATATATACAAAACTTAACCGTGCATGGTGGCGTATGCCTGTAGTCCCAGCAACTCGGGAGGCTGAGGCAGGAGAATCGCTTGAACTCAGGAGGCAGACATTGCGGTGAGCCACGATCGTGCCACTGCACTTCAGCCTGGGTGACGAAGACTGTCTCAAAAAAAGAAGAAAGAAGAGAGAAGAAAGAATAAGAATAAGAAGAATAAGAAGAAGAAGAAGAAGAAGAAATTAGTAGTAGTAGGAGTAGTGAGCTGCGGTGTCCAGCCTGTATTTTCTTTCTTTCCTTTTTTTTTTTTTGAGACAGAGTCTCCCTCTGTCACCCAGGCTGGAGTGCAGTGATCTCTGCTCACTACAGCTGCACCTCTTGGGCTCAAGCGATCCTTCCATCTCAGTTTCCCTTGCTCCTTAACTTTGTCCAACTCTTTTGAATCATTTATCAACGCAAATGCGTCAATGT